CATTTTACTTCTTTTTTTTATTTGACACTATTCACGTGGCGTGATAATGGATGTTGCCTAATGTAGTGTGCATTTTATTTCGACATTTATAAGTACGTATATGAATCCAGTGCATCTAGGCTTTGTGCACCTATAAAACAGTTTGTATGGCAGTCAAAGTTATTGCGTGTGGAACTGAAAGACAGAATATGTATGTTCTGCTACGCTTTCTATTATTTCATTAACGGGCATTTTTTAAGTATATAAGCGTTTATAAATATATATATATATATGTGTGTGTGTGTGTGTGTGTGTTATAGAAGGGCGTAATAATACAAGTTCGTAACTGAGTGGTTGAGTACGCTGGATCAAACTGTGGTTTCTACTAAGGAAAAGGCAGGTTTTATCTCTACCGGATTTTCTTAGTTAAGATTTTTCGAATACGCAGGAGAGTAAACCTAATACACACAGTTTAAAGTAAAAAAAATGAAAACGTATCGTCTATTACAAATAAGAGTATCCACTATAATAAGGTTTGAAGTAAAAATGACAATAGGAAATCTAGTAATTGCCGACGCGTTTCGTGCAATGTGGACTTTATCAAAGCAAAATACGAAATGAAGTTAATTGAACAAGGTAACTAATAAAAACCAAAAACAGAATGTTCCTAGCAACTGGAATGTAGAGAAACGCTATTTTCATATTGTTAACTGAAAATAACGTCAGTATTTGTCACGTGTGGAGAATATTGACATTATACCTGTGTTGATGTATTCAAGCATTTTCTTTTGCTTTTATGAATCTGTTGTGTACATTTGTTTGTGAGAGCAATAATTTTGTTAAGAAAGGTGAAATGGGGAAAAATCTGGGCGTAGATTAATATTTGGGTAATAATCTATGGCGGCACTCTCTAGAATTTTCCTTCTGAGTGGGTTATTTTCTTTTTTTATGAGTGTAGCATTTTTAAAATCAAAACTATGGTTGAATTTATTTCTATGTGTGACTAGAGCATTAGCTAAGTTGTTTTTTGTGAGGTCTCTGTTGTGCTCATAAATGCGATTTTTTTAAATTTCTACTTGTTTCTCCAATATATTGAGAAGAAAAGTTTTGGCAATTTATTTTATAAATGCCTGCTTCAGAAATATTATTGCTATTAATGTTTGAAGATCTTAGTATATCCATAATGGTTTTGGAAGTGTTCGTGACTATTCTAAGATTATTTAGATGGGATAGGATATTCTGTATAGTGGACGTGGCAGAGTTGGTCGGTAGTATCATGTGAAAATTCTATCTCTACTGGTTAAATCGGAGAAACTTTCATATATATATATATATATATATATATATATATATATATATATATATATATATATATATAGTGTAGGAAAAACATTAAAATGATGCCGTTTCGATTTTTGTTGGGAGGCACAGTTTTTCTTTAGTATGACTTTTACAGTCTAGGCTATTTGTTATTGATGTCACTGTTTAAGAAAATAAAAAGGATCGAAATTCAAACAAGTTCACCAACTAAAAATAACGTTTATAATAAGAAGAAATAAATTTCTTCTTCTTCTTCTATGTGCCGTATCCTTGCATGGCTCTCCACAATTTCCTGTCCTTTGCAAAGTTGAAATAAAATTAGATTTAGAAAAATTAAGCAAAATAAATGTGGATATTAAAAACTGATTAAATGCATAATGTGTATACGTACTTGACATAGCTAGTGCATATATGTTCATATTTAACGTTTTATACAATCCATTTAGTAGGAGTGCCAAATATATATTTATACGAATGAGTGCTTGAGTGTTTATTTATATGGCATCTCTTTATACATATAAAACTATTTCTGTATCATGTGTATGATATCTGAGCTCACGTTCGCCCTTACGTATATGCGTGCTAGTGCACACGCAGAGATTAGAGCAATGCAATCATATATCTGTGTGTGTGTGTGTGTGTGTGTGTTTTCGTACGCGCATGCATACGTTTTTGTACCAAAACGGGAGAAAGAGAAGGTGTTTTGCGCTTTTGTTCTTGATGAAAAAGTTTTATTTACTTTTGATGGAAAAGGGGCGCCAAAATATCGACAAAGCGCCGCCTACAGGTCAGATCATTGGCCACCTTAGACGCGACGCAGAACTGCCAGCCGTCATAGCATCTCTATTCCCATTTTCATTTTTACTTCCTTCTCATATTCTTTAAATTCTAATTTTCTCACATGTTTAATATTGCAACATTTTTTTTAATTTTCTGCCACCTTGTAAAAAACAAACTTTTTAATTACTTTTAGCATACAGTTTTTATGGTGTCGCAAAAGAAAATGGCGTTGGAACACAAATAGAGTAAAAGGAGATATTTAACACTATTACTTAACAATTCCATACAATTTGAAATCATAAAAGCCATTGAAATTCTGAGTTTCATTAGATATCTTTAAATATCATGTATTATCTTGCATGTATTAGACTCGGCTACTTTTAGTAAATACCGTACTTTTCATATTTTAAGACGTACGGTATAATTAACTGGGCATTTTGTCGGAGATGGATATTTGAGGATTTTATTGCTTACCATACTAGCATGCTCACTGTCGCCGTCTCTATGGTGTCATTTTTCATTCTGTCACAATTTGGACCTATTATTAAATATTTGTGGTTATTATTAATTAGTTTTTTCATAGTTTAGCACACTGTTATACCTATTCTCATGAGAAAACAACTCATTCTTGTCAGCAGAAACCACATATCAACACCCGGCATTTACATCTAACGCCCAGCTTATGTCTCAGGGTTGCGTTGAAGAGTGCAAACGGCGTATTTGCATCGTCACTACTACAATGTGTTATTATTGTATGAATGTAACATTGACTACCCCTTTGGAATTATTATAGTAATTAGCATTAACAAACAGGGAATACAATAAGTGTAGAACGTTTGTATACAGAAGCAGTGTTAATTGTTTTTTTTTTATTTTTGGTGGTCGAAACGAACTACTGCTTCATTATCTGTCAGCTATTACTCCCTAGCATCGCAGCGGAAATCAAGAAATAAAGCCATTATCGTAATATTGCTTTATTTCACAATACCAATATATATATATATATATATATATATAGCGAAAGAGAGGGAGTTTATTTAAATAAAAGGTTTAGCACTTAGCTGATTGATGTTACCTTCAGAATCTTGACTACAGAGATTCGTAGACGGATCTATGCGTCCACTCATCAGGGGCATCAGCAATTTACTTCCCGATTTATATTTTTTATATTCATTTATCATTGGTGCAAGTTTATTTTTGTATGCGTGTGTGTGTGCATTCGCACCCCCATCAGCGCTGATGTGGGTACATGTAAGGTGCCGTGATCATTTGTCCTTTTCATCGTTTTGTTTTTTGTTTTTTTTCCTCTTGACACTCATTCCTTTCACTTTTTTCTTTTTCTTCTTTTCTTTCAATTGTTGCTATTGCATTTCCGTTTTTTAATTAAAAAATGTATTTAATTTTTTTCACATAATTAATTAATTTCAATGCTTAAATGGTAAAATATTCATTATATACTTTAGCTAATCATTTCATTATATTATCTGATATGGTGGTATCTTAAGTACTATTAGGCTATTAATTGTAGGAGGTTAGGTTTGTAACTATTTTTTTTATTATTGTTTGAATTTTTGTGCATATGACTGTATTTATACGTTTGCGCACACGCACACACACATACAAGGATATACGTATATAGCTATACACACGTGTACATATATACACATACAAACGCACGTACACAAACACATGCACGCTTATTTACATTTTATCATACCATACATCCAGTCACCAATTGCCGTAAGTAGCACTATATTTATTTTTCGTGATTGCTTATATTTCGTGACCTGGGTTCGTGAAGGTTGGCAAACTCCTCTCTACAATTTGGTCTTTCATTAATAAAATGCAGGGTGGATTTTGAGGGCATTTCTCACGGAAAAAATGCGTCTTTGCATGTGGAAAATACAGTCGGTGTTCAGGTCCTGGAATATTCAAACTTATAATCTCTTTTGTTAAGAGAAATATAAAAAAAAACTCTATTGAATCTAAATACTGAAAGATGTAGTTGTCTTGTGTTTTTCTATTAATTTTTCAGTATATTTGATTTGACTTCTACCGAATATGTGATCTCGAAAAAGGCAAATAAGCAAAACATTCATACTCGCAGGGCATTTGTATATCTTTGACGACTGACGACCAGAGGCTTAAATCGCGTGGGAGCGCTACTGAAAGCAGTCAGTTGGTTAGAAATAAGAAAACCTTGTCTTTCGTCGAGCCATACGATTTGAAATAAGTAAAGTGTGGACTTTATTCAATCAAGACAACTACAACTAAGCAACTTTCTTTTTTCTCACTCCAATGTCCGATTGAAAAAACAACTACATCTGTAGTTGTGTTATATATAACTTTATTAATAACATTCGGGACTTGGGAGATCATAGCTCTCTACAATTTCCTATCATTTGTAGATCTCATCAGAGTTTGTCCTCTTATTACCCCTGTTATTATCTGTTGTGCATTCCATTTACACAAACTCATAAGGTACGTTACTCGCTCTTTCCATCTGACCCTCTTGCCTAGAATATGTACTCTGAGTGTCAGATTTTCCAACGCTTATTATACGTCAGAGAAATTCCAGCTAACTCTTTTTAGAATGGATTTTTTATTAATCCGACAAATCACTTTAAACGTTATTTTTAGTGGATATTCCATCCGGTGATTTATTAAGTAGCATATTCTATTTTCATCTACCGGTCTGAATGTTTGATAAATGTCATTAAAGAAAAATACAGGAGAACGCATATTTTCTATAATAAAATTTCTCGAACATTTACGACGAAAATAAATAAATATACAATTTAATAAATAAATGGAGTGTCTACTCAAATGCGTGTATTCACTAAAATAACATTTAAAGTGATAACTATTTTAGTTCAAAATAAAAGAGTCCTTTTTGCTTCCCTTTTCTTTAAAACGTCGGCTTACGGCCACATCAGGTTGAAACACCTGTTCCCGTACGATCACTGAAGTTAAGCAACGTCGAGCATAGACAGTACCTAGATAGGAGACGTCATGGGAATATTAGGTGATGCAAGTTTGGATGTGCGGGTGGTGTAACGGATGATGGCTCTGAATTGTTAATAGGAGAGCAGAGTTCCAACTCCAGTTGAGCTCGTTATATTTACTTACTTATTTTAAAGTACCCTTGGTAAAAGTATGAATCTACCCCTTCTCCCCACCCCCATTTTTTGGTTAATTAGTAAGTCTTCTATCACTAAAATCATTATTATCTCAAAAAATTATATAAAAATTGCATACAAAATATTTATTTTTCCTCATTAAATAACCCATAGATATGCCACTAAATAAAAAACAATCACAGAACCTTAAAACTTCCTTGTTCCTTATATATTCCGTCCATGATAACCTTGCTATCCTTCTAAAGAACAAAGTTTCGCTTGGTTCATGTCTCCTCGTCATTCTATGAGAAAAGTGCCTAGAATTCAATGACCTATGAGGTCATATATCGTAGTTCAGCACTCTTTTCTTTGTTTCTAATAAAATTTATTTGTTATCTTAATGCTTTTTCAGCATTTGGAAAGCAACTATCTCTGTTCCAGTGCACCTTCGGGTTTGTGCATCACATTTTTCGTCGGCTGTTAAAACACTTTCCAAATATTTAAACTTCTGTACTTGCTTGATCCTAAAGCCTCGAATTTCAGCTCGCATCGTATGCTACCCATCTTACTAACGACCATACATTCTGTCGTCTTAAAATTTGTAGTTAATGCTTTCTTCTCGCTTGCCTTTACTGCATTGTCTAGGAGTTGGTGCAGTTTACTTCCTCTGCTTGCCATCAAGTCAATGTCATCTGCGTTTTTTTACGCAAACTATTAAACGTACATTCCTCTACACTTGTATTGTTCTGATATCCTTCTGACCATAAGAATCGCATTTTTGTACCAGCGTCCTTAACGAAACAACGCAGTTCTTGTCAGTCTAAATCTGCTACGCATTCTACGCATTTGAAGCCGGGTGATAAGCTTAGTTATGTGGCTGATTAAGCTGATAGCCTGATGAAACTTCCATTCGATCAAACCTGGTTTCTTTGTTAGCGCTCTGAAGATGGTTCTACCGAGGTCTTCCGTTGCCATCACTATTTCGTTCATTATTCCCGTAATTCTGTTTCCTGATATCATCTAAGGCTGATCGCATCGCTTTTACAATTCCGTCTGCTTCTGAGATTTTGTTACTGTTCATCTTGACTAATTCCAATCTTACCACAGACTTTACTATTCAGATCCTATGTAGATTTTATGCATCTTGTCGAGGAGTAAGAGTTTATTGATGGAATCATATATATATATATATATATATATATATATATATATATATATATATATATATATATATATATTAAGCAAGAACGAAATATAAACTCCAGTTATAATTATAAAGAGAGGTAAATGCTGAAAATACATGGACAAAACATTTTTATTTTTCTGGCGTCTGATGTGTCTAGATGCGTAAGCTAGCCGACCTCATTCAGCTTCGTAACAATATTTTGTTTTTATTGCCTCTTTCTTGTGTTCTTCTTCAGCCTTGTATTGGACAAAGATTTACTAAAAACAATATGTGTGCATGACTTTATCGTTGTTAAGACTAATAAGAACACTACTAAATGTCGCACATTTTAAAAGCACTAATTTTATTAAGAAAAGTGATATGCTGTATGAACTTGGACGTAAATTTACCATGGAATATTCAAAAATTAGTATACGTTCTATAGATTTTTGCCTTAATAAATTAATTTTCCTTTATAATTCTAAAAGTTTTTTTTTTTTTTTTTTAAACTTTGCAGCTATCCAATAGTGAGAAGGTGAAAAAAACAAAACGAATCTATGCATTTCGATCAAGGAAAATGCTTATCTGGCATGGAATAAATTGAGATGTTTTAGAGATCTCTAAATCTGCGAATATACCCCAAAATATAAAGAATTTATATTTACTAAAATTCATACTCAAATTTAGAAATGTCCTTTAAACTTTGTTTAAAATGCATTCATTGTTATTTTTTTTAACTTACGCCTTCAAAGGAACTCAACCAAATAAGACTATATCATGCTGGGATGTCTCGAACATTGAATTATTCTTCATTTTGGCGTTCCTCTATGTATTTTTGATTGTTTGTGTTTTGGGGTCAACGAAATTCATTTTGTGATTTGCAGTCAGACGAATATAATTGGAATCATCTTTCAAAGATATAGATCCTTACCAAATATTCCGACATAATCGTAGTCCCAGATAAAATACAGTTTCGGATTGTGTCTAATAATATGGAGGCTGTTCTATATGGCACACAGTACATGAAACATATTTAAAATTTATAATTTCAAAAGAGTGCCAAAAATTTAATAAAAAAACAATCTTTGATGATTTAAAATGTATAATTTCTTGGGGTAAATAAATATTTAGGGTGAATTAACAGAAACGTCCGTTTTTAGAAAGTATTAAGAATGCAAAATTAATCAAGCATTTAATCAATTAGGATACCTTTCAAAAAAAGCAACAGAGATCTTAAAGTATTTTAAAGCAGTGTTTCCATTAATTTTAGCCAGCGAATCAGTACTGAGAAAGAAATGTAAGAACAACACGAGAACTTGTAACCACCCCCCACCAAAATATACCACCGTCCCAATATTGAGGTAAGTGTAAGCCTGTCGAAAATATTTGCTTTTCTAGATTGTAAACTGTCTACATTCAGCCTGAGTAGAAGTAAAAGAATCAAATGAAGACTTGCCACAGAATGAGCAATAAAACTAAGAGAAAGCGACAGATATCTTTGTTTACGAGCGCTGAATGTGTTTCTGCTCCGTGCAAAATGACAAGAATTATTCGAGTTGTGATTCGGTTTCTAAGCAAATATTACTCGCTTTACGATACCATTGGAAGGCTAAACGACATTTATCATGCAGGGCAAGCAATGACATTATTGTTTAATGTACGTAAGTCTCAGGGCCTCTAAGCACTACGGGGAAGAAAGGAGAGGATAAGTAAGTGAAGTAAAAAGAATAAAAAGAAATATATGAAGGCGAGAGGGGGAAAAAAGAAAATGACTTTGGAAAAGGAAGAGAAGAAACATAAAGCTGAAGAAAAATAAGAAAAGATATCTAAAAGAATTATAAAACATTTATTATGATTTACGATGATTTAGACATAAAACATAGATTAAATTTTTTTTATTTAAAAGTGAATGAAAAAAGACAATAATTCGTTGTCATTCTCGATGATGATGTAAAAAAAGAGCTTTCAATCGAGTTTAATAAAAAATAGCGGAGAATGTCACAAACTTATAACGATCATTATCATCATTGTCGAAGTCACTTTCAAGAATTGAAGAAATAAGAATATAGAAAAAAAAACAAGACGAAGAAATGAAAACAAAAGAAAGTGTAATAAAATGTCTTTCATCAAAATGTAGACAAATTATGGGAATTTAATTGCTACTTCATAGCAGACATTTCTCTCTTTGATTGTGCATAATGGCTGACAAGTAATCACGGACTTTTATTGGAGAGAAGCAAGTAAACCTGTCAGTGATCTATTTATCTCCTGCCTCTAGACAGCCTTGTTCCACTGTGAAGTGATTATTTAATTTAAATTTAATATTTATGCAGACGTCGCTACGGTTTGTGGATGCCCCTTCAACAAAGTAGATGCCTAGAGCTTGCCAGCTGATCTCTGCTTTGATTTGTCTCTAACAGCTCAGTGGTATAAAAAAAAGACTTGAAACTTTCATCGTCACCTCGGACACTCTGAATATTCTCTAGTCATAATGAACAATTCATTTCTCAGAGAGTAGTATGGTGCAGAGTCATGTTGCCAGTCACAGGCCCTTCAGCAGCCACCCTCTTGACCCAGGACAGTACTACCCCCTCAAGGCACATGATGTAGGCCTCCGTTTTGATTCTGAGCTCCTCACCAACCAATTCGGGACTTCTTATCAGAACGATCAAAGTGGGTTTTCCGAGCTGCCGTACAATTAGACTAAGCCAACACTTCCCGAATCCTCTGCACCCCTCCTCATATTGACACCCAAACGTTCTGAAATGTTCATATTGGAACTTCCGGCATAAATGCCAAGCCGTACAGTATGCTGTTTCCAAATTTCTAGAGGAGTGAATTGCGTCATGGTGCTCTTTGTCTTACAAACAGTGTCAAACTGATACTGCTATATTGTTCCATCGACAAAATAAAACAAAACAACACGCATGTGCTAAATTAAGAATATAAAATGGCGACAATTTTTACCCATCGCACCCTTTAGATGCGGGGAAAAAAGTGTAATTCGTCCCCGCCAGCCTCTATCCTCGCAAAAGTTAGCTCAGATCAAAAGTTGATTATTGGTGCAATACCTAGGCTGGAGCTGCACTATCCACACTCTCCAATTTTGAGAGAGTTCAAAGGCGTTTACGTGGCCTTATCGGCATTGGCTTATTTTTAAAATCACACCACTATTCCGACAAGCAAAATATCGCAATCTTATCGCTATTTCTATGGAAAATCTTCTGATGAGTTAAAGTTTCCCCAGTTAAGCTGTTGTAATTAAGAGTCGACCTGTAGCTTACATACCAGAATCCTCATTCCTTTTGTATTCCAGTATGAGGAATGTTGCACTCAGCTTCCTTCCACGAACCGCTGCACTGTGAAACAGATTCCCGAGAGGATGTTTCCTGATCATTAGTCTATTCAAGTCTATGGTCAACCGTTATCTATCCTGCATATCCTCACAATCTGCACATATTTCTAGGGTAACGTCCATGCAACAACCTGATTACTAACCATCTATCTTGGGCGGCTCTTGTGTCTTGTACTGGATGAAAATTTAGTAGAAACAATAAGTGTAATAACTTTCTTTCGTTTTTAAGTCTAATAAGAACACAATACTAAATACGTAAAATTACTGTTTATTCACCTTTGAACTTTATCAGGGACGCTAGTCTTCTTATCATGAGGATGTGATCGCCTGTGTGTATTTCTCCCCTTTAGTGTGGGATACTTATATATTTTCTTGTCATCCGCTTCCCGACCTATG